CAGTAGTTTAATTTGCATCACCGAATACACAGACATTTAGAATATTACAAGGCGGTACAATCCTCAGGACATTGACCTGCACTCAGAAGCTTGCAATATTACCACTATCAGGTGTGTAACACACTGAAAACACTTCTCTATAATCCATTTGAATTCTGATGTTACGTAAACTGCTGGACCGATGCTGAACAAAATATGCTTGCCTGCCTTAGGGACAAACGCTTGCCAAATATAGCCTATAAATACATCAAACTTTGGTAGGCAAATTCAAAACTGCATGATTTTGCCAGATTATTTTTGTAAAAAACGCACAAACAACGACAGATCAAGATATACCATTATACGGAAGCAATAACCAAACAGGTTATGCAAACCCTTATCTGTATGGATAGAAGGTAACTATAATCCGTGTTGAGTTTTCTCAGTAAAGGGGATGAAAACTTTGCCGAATACAACACACTAGCCAGTAAAGACATTCAGTATGCCTGACTTGGTTGTCTTTTGCTCTGGATAATAACTTCTTACTACTTTTCAGTAATTTTGTCCTTTTTCTCAACGCGCTTATGTAAGATTTGCATCTCACCGTCCCTCTAACAGAAAAGTGGTGCGTCTTTGAATGTGTAAAAGGTTAATTCTGAAGGAAATTATGACCATTTGCAGCTGGGACACTGAACAAGCAAATACGACTATTGGTCGGACAGAACGGTCGAAAAAATCCCAGTCAAAGAGGTGCCAGCCAGTTATTAAACAAAGCGTGGAAGCTTGTCTTGTTAAACCGTATGGCTAACAGGACACACAAGTATCATGCTAATATCTCAACAAAAGTACGCGAGCTAACATTATAAAAATATCCACGTTACCTAAGGAAAGCTTCAGACAGTCTCCCTAAATATCAACCGTCAAGTGAATTTTCATTCATCTTAATATAGACCACTCACGTTAAACCAGAGAGTTGCTTACAATTCTACGTACCTTCCTCTGGTTAACAGTTTGTGACTAGAGGCCAGAGCTTGATCAAAGTAATCTTAGACCAGGTTGGAAACTGAAGAGAGAAAGAGAGTAAGAGTGCCTGAAAACCGTAACCAGGCAATTAGATAAAAATCCATACTGCCTCCGCGATTTAAACGGTGAATTAAAAGATAAGCCCTGCCACGCACACCTAGTTGAAGTTTAAGTAAACATTGTGAAACGCTGAATCAACAGAATGCAAAAAGAAACGGAAACTAGAAAGCTGTAAAGCCATTTGCGTGCCACGTTATCAATGTTAGTAACGACGCAGTGAAGCAAGCACTTATGGAAGGTCAATTATTTCAGCAAAATTCTATCGAGCAGGCTTCACTTAGGCCGGGTGGTTTTCAGTGACCTACAGCGAGATGATTCATGAAATGGCATTCCGCTACAAATGGCAATATTACTCACTGTTTCAAACTGGCTTAATTCTGATGCCCAGTGCATCCTTCCTGAAGCTGCAAAAGTAAAGCTTTTGTACCACCAATGGAAGCACCACGAGTAAACAACCTATGCTTAATTTCTGAGTTGTTTCAACTTGAATTTCTCCCTTCGTAAAACGGTAGGAACTGCAGAAAATTGATCTACAGACTGTGAAATGGAAAGTTCTCTTCTTGGACAGCGTTGGGATCCGATTTCAGAGGATTGAGTGAAATAGTGACTCTTCAATGTGGGGAATGAAATGCTGTTATTTTCAATATCCCGTCTCTTCAAGAGCGAAGATCATGAATGTACAGTTTAGTTAGCTGGATAAAACAGTCTACAAGTAATTGAAGTGTATCACTGGTTGCCTAGGTTCCAGAAGCAAACCCCTGAAAGGGTGAGTGCATTCAGGAAGCCACTGCGGCGATTCACTCAGCGACCAAGGGCATACAATAATACAAGGGCATACGATAATTAAGAAGCAGCTAATCAATCCCTGTAGGCCAAAAACTCTTTTTGAGGTAGATAAAGCCAAGACTAGATTGGCTGGGTTGAAATCACTGAAAACCAAAGTACTTTAAGAGATTTTATTCGCATCGTAAAATCTTATGCTTGTGTAAGTGATATATGTGGGGCTAGTCGGTAGCAGTTAAAAACTTATAGCTACTGTCACTCCGACAATTCCACCATCTGCAGCAGACAAAGACACTTCCAAGTGTTGAATGATGACCAAAAACCCGAGAAGGAGTAAATTGTCCGAAGGTGAGATCCGTGCCAAACGCACCACCTGCACATGAATGGTGAGCTGAATTGTTCAGCCGTAGGGTGCACAACGATTCCAGTACAAGAGCCGATCGACTTACACATTTTAAAACACGCTTTCACCATGCCATGAATGCATTCGAGTGCCAAGATAGATTAGGTCTGCCAACACACATCGGACACTTATTGAAACGCAGCATTAAACGGCTACTTTTATTCACCATGGTTTATCGTAATGCTTTCGGTAAGAAGGCAAGATCAGGAAATTCAGATTATCCATGTATTTTACAGCCCAAACTCAATGTGCTTCGAGAACTGTATTTGATAGTGAAGGGTCAGATTTCGGGTGCTCTCAATATGCTAATTCTGTGGAAGTCTCATGCTCTATCGCCCAACTTGTTCGGCGAGATTGTTTCTTCCGACTAAACAAAGCTAATTGATCTGCTCCAAAACAAGCCCTGCTCTAGCACGTACCCCAAACCACTTTGTGGTAGAGGCGGCAGGCTGCTTTCTTGCTAGTGACCTTAGTTACATACGTACATGTTCCCCTAATGGCCACGTCGTACTTCAGCTGGAATTTAAGGCAACAATGAGTCATTTGGTTGACACTTGAATTGGGCAGACCAATCATTGAAATTGGTAAGGCAACAATGAGTCATTTGGTTGACACATATGAAATGAGCAGACCAATCATGTGAAATTGGTCGACTGAAGCCAGGCTTATCACTTTGACCTTAAATAAGGGAAGGAATCGGGCAAACCTACACAAAACAACACGAGTTTGTTCCATCGAAAGGCATTCATCGGAACAGCCTTCGGTTATTGAAATAGCTGCGTCCAAAAAACTCAGTGCCGAAACGCTAAGCGTGAGAAAGGTCTGGGAAGATAAGATATTTCGACAGTTAAAACGTAAGATTACTGGTTAAACGACGTAAAGGGATTGATCTAGATATCAAAGAGGCATCCGCCAGGACTATCAGGAGAGCTAGGTTGAATCCCAAAGAATATTTGAGCTGTGTGCAATCAAAATGGTATGGAGAAACAATGAAATGCGGAAGAATAGGTCAAAGTCGGAGCGGACTATCAAATATGGCAGCGAAACTGTAATCGCCAACACTTTCTAGACTTTGAGCCACTTTGTTTGAAAGCACCTGTTTGAAATGCATGAACATTCTGACATCAATTCATCCACCCTAGACAACAGTTGCCAAACTGTCAGGCTGGAAATTTACTAGGATCCACTAAACTCATGGCAGGTAAATGCGTCATCAACCCAGAAACGCTCTCCATTGTTAACGCGATGAGCTTTTAGCAACGGTTCGAAACAGTGAAGTATAGGTTGAAAGGTCCAGTGTTGGGTTAACCAAGCATTCTTCTTGAATGAAGACAACAGATTTGCGGGCAGTTTGTCAAGCTCGTTAAACAACCAATAACTTTACCCGACCTACCAATATTCCACGATAACATCTCCGGTCAGCTTAGCCTTTCTGGATGAAAACCGTTCTACTGCGGCCTATCCTTGCAGTGAAAACTCGAAGTGAGTTACACTGTGTCACATATATCATGCTAAATTGGTCTCTAGTCTTTCTCGCCAAATTTTTCCTTCAACAAAATTGGTGGCCAAAAAACGGTATTTGTGTAAATTAGACAATAAGAAATTTATATCACCATACACTCCTTTTTTAAGATCATTTGCGGAAAAGGGGGCAGAATCAGCAGGCTCGCAAAAATATTTACACTCTGGGACGAAGAACTTGAATGCTTTGACCATCTTCATTCTGAACACGGTGCATATGTTTGCAGTGTCAGTACACACAGACGTTAAGCGCGTGCTTCGGTTTGACCCTAGTGGAATGCGTAAATAATTTTTTTAACAGCGACTTGAAACTGGCAGTCGAGAAAATCCTTGAAAAAAGTCCGAAACTTGTTTCTTATTGGCACACCCTAGTAAACTCCTTAGGTGTCTGATGGATAGGTCGGCTACTCATGCATTTTTGTTACAATGGATGTAGTTTATTGGGTTCCTAAAATTTTGGTATCCTTTCTACTGCAGCATTTTTACTTTGCTTAAAGGGCTCCCATTTATCAAAGGTCACGCTGATGAAGACAGTAAAGAGGTTCGAGTCAGTCGAACCATTCGCGTTTGGAGAAAACTTACAAGTTGATTGGTATTCTAAATTTTTTTAAACCAGGTATCATCAGCACAGGATTTAGGTGAGTATAATCCGGATGTAGGTCGAGTGATCGAGTGCTTACTTCAGCATATTATTTTAAGTTCAGCGTGCAAGGTATCAGTTGTAGCCCTGGACACGTTAAATCTCAGCATACGCCATTGATCGGAGATTCATTCAGCTGACTGGTAAACAAAAGTGATTGTCGTAATCGTAATCTGCGGCATAAAAATGGCCGGAGAAATTGCACAGAAGTTCATGCTGCCAACATGAAGCTTACAATTTCATTCCTTCAGATAGTGGGATTGGTCGCCACATTAAAAAATCAAGCAACAATGCAGACTAACTAAGAAAAACATGAATATCTGGATCCAGTTAGTTTTCATACTAGTGCGCTTAATGGATTTCGAGCCAATAACTAGCATGATTGACGCTTTGTCAGCCATTTCATACAGTGTACGAAAGTTGGTATTATTGACGATATCTAAACAATAATGATAAGCTGTTGCTGTTTAAAAAAATCATTTGTTTGGCGCCATATTACACTAAGAGTACTCTTATCAAACAGAAGTAAACTGTGTGCACATTTTGTATACACAATATCCAATTTGATTGATTTCCAAGATAATGACTTACGAGCTTTGCACGGGTCCAGCCAGGCACTATTGGGATAAAGCATATATAAATCCTTTTCTGGTTCAAATATCACGCCTTTCGGGATGATGATTTCTTCTCTTTTCACAAATCTTGTCGTTGAACTATTCCAAACAGGAAACAATCTCGGTTTCCGACGGTCTCGGTGGAACAACGTCTGGTTCAGTGGGTCGAAAGACGATGATTTGTCTTTGATGCTCTTGAACGAGCGAAGGATGCCGAAGTAAACGTGGTCTGTGGGATATATGACCTCTGACTGTCTCCCTGCCATTTTTACAGTTGACGTGTTTGGTTGTCTTGTGACCAAATCTCCATAGGTCATGACTGGTATACAAACCACAACCCCAAATAGGAATAAGTCGAGGAATGTCATAGCGCTTCTCAGTTGCCTGGTAGATGTTTTAGTATGTAGAAACATGTAGACAAGACAAGCGTGTTTGTGCTATTGGTGACAAAGCGACGTCCTGTGTCCATGCCACTCAATGTGTAACTCGCTTGTTGGCACGCCAATCCAGGTAAAGCGTATCGATTGACCGTTTTGTGCAATGAATCACATAAACCAAAGCTGTGTGGTGCTGGTGGTAGTGGTCGGTGTGCCACAACATATGTTTACACTATGTCTTCGTCCCACCACCACCAAAGTTGGTTGATATGTATGGCATGAAGGGTGAACTGTTCGACAACCAAAGGCACTATGCACCGAGGAGCAAGACGTAGTTAATCTCGGAAGAATTCGACCGAGTCCGGCTGCAAGTCCAAGAAAGTAGTTATTCGCCCATTTCACCCACTTACTGTCAAGCGCCTGCGCCACAGAATATAAACAGTTTGAATGTGAACCTGGTCACCGCAATATTGCACATCCACGCGGAAGCGACTATAAACGGACACTGCAAGAAGTGGCCAATGGTGGCCAATCGAATTACGACCAGTGGTTTGACGACAAATAGCTCAGTCGTGATTGGATGATTCAAAACAACATGACTACATGCAGTTGATCTCACCGGCCGCCAGTTTCTGATTACATTAAGACAAAAACAGTGAAATTTTACCACACTGGTATTCAAAGGAGTCTCACTAAAGGCTGGGGGCGACATATTTCCTTAGAACGATTTACACACGCTGACGCCAAATGCAGCCTGCAGAAAAATTGTTTATAATTCGGACGCTACATTACACTGACGTGTCTCGAATAAGGCAGAACGTGTAGCGGATAGCCGGCGAAACTCAATTAATTTTCCCATTTTGACTTCTAATGAAAATTTCTTATGAAGATTTGCTTGAGAATGTGATCGCCGTTACGCGGTTCATTGGGAGTTTCGGTACATCTGAGCGAAAATAAACTCATTCATTCACATAAACCGATGGTGTCGCACTTCTATTCGGCAATGGAAGATAGTTTTCTGGTGTATGATGCTAGACCTGAAAAGTGAAACTACACAGAGCTTTTCTAAAAATGTGTACGGTGCTTTATTGCTTGCAGTTCATAAACACAGGAACTGAAAAACTTTTCCTGCAATGTGTTGCTATGCGAAGACATTTTACTCAGTGACAATGGGCAGTGCTACAGAAGTACTTGGCTTCAAGCCGGATTTTCCACTGAAAATGCGTTAACTAAGAATGCCATGGATAAGAGATTCCGTTTATGAAATAGTAGCCATTCACAATGAACTACGATGGTCTCCCAATGACAGTTATCTCATGTTGGGATCCCCCTAAGCTGATGAGCACCGCTGCCTTTGTCTCCGAAATTTAACTACTTTCAAAATGGTAGAAAATTATGAATTTTAAAATTACCCTTAAATTTCTAGATCCTCAGGCCATCTTATCCAACTGGGAAGTCAGAAGAAACGCTGCTTAGCGCTACAGTCTTATGTATGGCAAGCAATATTTGAATGCAATAGTTAGGACATTGATTATCTCTTAGAGTACAGTACAAAAATTTCAGACTAGTTTCGCTTACGTCAACGTCGTTGCGCATTTTCAACGGGATAACTGGTTGCAGATGACGAACTTTTTAGGGAAACCTGTCATAAGCAAATTTTGCCGTCCGTCTTGTTACAGCTCACCGTGAAGTATGGACCCAAAAAACATGGTTGTATGTGGTCCATGATAAACAATAAAGACTCAAAAATTTCTCCGTTGACTGCTCAGATGTGTATCAATCCACCATTTATATTGTTTCGGGTCCCAGGAGGATCATTCTTGTTGCTACGCGTGAATGCCAGTCTCCAGAAGAGACTTTGAGGGCAGTCCATAAACTAATGCGAACGTATGAGAGCTATTTCCTTTGAAATGGACGAAGGCAATGAATTCCGTGCTTGGGCTTTTAGTGAAGACTACTGGATCTCAAAGTAAATTAAACAAATACGCATTTCGTAGGTCGAAATTTGCCGTCAAGGAAGGGTACTTTGACTCCCGTATTGATTAGCCACCCAAATTCTAAAAACCGTCGGGATCGTTGTTTATGACCAATGTATTACAGACGTAAGAACATACATTTGGTCGATAAGATGGTCTGCACAGCGCTAGTTGTGTTGAATCGAAGTCTATATTACCACAGGAATATTTGATGTGAAAATTTGAAGTGGATCAGAGTTCTACTTATCACCATGGTGGATGTCCATCTTTGGTGGTGAAATGAAACGATGGTTTACAGTTCTGAGTTGGGAAGTGCTCCTATTGTCTCCTGGTTGAGGGAGGCTGATAACCCTGGAGGGCTGGTTGAATGAAGCTTACAGTATGTCACTTCTGTTTTTTAATAATATAAATGAGTTCAATTTGGAGTAGCATGCATTGCATCCAAGAGCAGCACCGAATAACATACATTGAGTTGTGTCCTAAGTTCTCCATCACAACCGGGTGTGGCTTCCTCTATCTAGTAATTTGTGCAGCAAAATATAGTATCACCTTCAGCAATAGCACCAGCAGTGTGCCATCAGAATTGGATCGCAAATATTTCAAAGAAGCAAGCAAGAGTCACCTAATTAACCTGTGATTTGTAGCCCGACCGTTTAATCGTTTAAATTGTGTAGTGAGAGTTATTTCTTCCTAGTGTCAGACGACTACTATGTGATAGTGGGTAAATTATCTACCATGTCTGCGCTTGCTAGTTGCTCGGTAAGGCTCTTGTCAGCTGGGATTTCAGGAGTATTTTAGGTGATGACTCATCCCTTAACTGAATCTAACCTACAACGAAAACTGAGAAGCATTGAACAACTGTTACATTCTTGTTAAAGGATCATCATAATGCGTGGATCTCACAAATCCTCAAGGGGGTTCACTTCCGTAGCCTCACGGCCAAGAATTGAAAAGTAAACCATTTGGCCACAGTTGACGACTAGTGTGGTCATCTCGCACTTACAAAGGATGTAGCACCAAGCATACTTCATTCACGAAATCATATCCCATGGTGATAAGTTGCCTCGCTCTTCCAGTGACGGTATTTGTGATCAAAGGTTCATTCATCGTGTCAGCTCTTCCGTTTTATGTGTTTCTTATGGCCTAATAAGATGATAACGTTATTGATGAGCCATCCACAGGCATTAGCTTATTTATCCAACTTCCAGCCAGGAAGTCGCTAATATCCCAGTCATTTCATAAAATGCACACCAACAATTTCTTCCAAGGAAAATAAGTGTTTCTTAGTTTGTCGTCATGAAGTGACTTCTATATCATATACAGTCAATATCAAGAATCAGCCAGCCGTCTGGAAAGGTCGGTCGAATAACGAGTGATCTTGTGAAGGCGGAAAATAGAAAGTTGGTGCACTCATCGGCCAGTATTAAACGCTGGTGCACTCTAAATTACCGCATATTAACGAATGCATATACATATATCGATAGAACACTCGGTAAGTAGAAATTGGTCACGAAGCCCATGTTAAAGCATACAACTGGGATAGACGAAAACCACTCTGTCTTATTAGTAATGGCCCATGAATGTCGTTCCAGAAACGTTTGTTGCGCCTTGCTCTAGGATGATAACAACGCTTTGTGAGCGATATTCAGTTTTGTTCACATTTCAAAGTGCATTTACAGAAATATTTTTTGTACATTCTGATATAACTCCAGTAGATATTATTACAGCCGTGTTATCTTTTTACACTGAAAGAACACCGATGATTCGTCAACCGATAATTAATTGCAGGAAGGATTACCCTAAGTTTCATCGTTTAATCCTACATACAAATGGTTTAATATGGTGACGGCACTGGAATAACAGCTTCAAAGAACTGTTTAGGATACTGTTGTGTTATTAAACCTACCTTGGTTCAGATACAAGACCTAGTAAGCTATCTCTCCTACAGAGGATAACAACAAGAGTGAACTTGTTTGGGTATATAGGTTATACGGTGAAGTAAGTTTTTTGCAATGTGGGATTTAAAATTTTTTCACCTATGGTTTTCGTCCTTCAGGCGAAGACAGTCCTTGCTCAAAAACTGGGAAGCACTGTACAGCTGCTCCATCTTTACCGCGGAAGAGCAGCAGTGCGCACCTCAATACACTACAAGAAGTTTCCAACCGCCCACCCCTCAGGTGTTAGTCTGAAAACTTGACAGCTCGGTCATGAGCGGCCGATCAACAATAATGAAATAACTGCCAAAATTGGAAGGAGTATCTTGGGACCTACGTTGTAACTGTCAATACCACGGAGGTTGGAAATTCGGCAATATTCGGCTCGGAGTCACGCCGGCGAAATTTAGTCCTAGGTGCGCCGTATACGTGCCGGCAACGTTAGCTTATGTGAAGGTGAAAACGGACAGCGTTCTCATTCACTTGTGAATGAGAAAGGTGAAAGGTAATACACCAGCTACTCATACCCGTTGCACCTTAAGACTGAAAATGCTTGATTGTTGGTTTGTTCGCAGTTAAGTTGCAAGATTTACACCGCTAATCGAGGCGATACTGTCGATGCGGAGTTGAGTGGGTAAATTCTTCTCAGACTGCCAGTGCTTATTTGGTTTCTTGACAGCATCTGAAAGCTCTGAAGCGATTGGTTGATACCGAGGTTTTCGCGTTATTTGATTGGTCACCTGCGAAAATGAATTGTTACGTGGTTTTACTCTCTTGAAACTAATTGGTTTGTTGGGGGGTTCAGTTCGACAGTAATATCCCTCTGTCGTTATTGGACCGTCTTTTTCTTGATTTTGGGTCCGAATTTGCCACACTTTACTGGCTAATTTTGAAACGTTCTATTTTTAGTAGCTTCTTTTCTTTGGTCGCATCAGTTCGTCGGTTGACGTCAGATTGCTTGAGTTACCAGGTGGTTCAGAGTCTCATAACTATGTAGCTCTTTTTTCCCGTAGCGACTGGTGGACTAGGTCGATGTCGATTTGTTTGCCGGTCAATTTTTCTGTGGAATGGTACTCCTACATAAATTTTCGATCCCATTTTGTTCATGTATGAGCAATTATCCTAACACTGTCCCGGGTGAACTGGTGCCAATATCTGTCTTCGCCAAATGAAACAAGTTACATTTGGTTATGTCTTCTTCTAGAGAGTTTATGTGCCCGTATTCTGGTGGCAAGTTTTCTTCCAGTTTGGTCGGCATAGTGCTCGTCACACAGTGTCGCATATCGTTTTACGAAGCACTGCCAAATTTAAATGCTCCCTGAATGTCTGTCTAGCAATGGACACAAATAGCGTAGTTCACTGGGGAAATATTGCTAAGCCTTCAGAATTACTGCTATCAAATGAACCTCAAACAAATCAGTTTCAGAGCTACTATCCTTCCTGAAGTGATGAAACAAGAAACTTTCACTATAACGACAAAATTCGTTACTCCCGTGATGTTTTGAAATCCAGGTATTTGAGTTTCTATGAGATGAAAACAGA